CCCTCAGCTGCTCTCACAGGTAGAGGACAAATCCCAGTGGGCAGCTCAGGACCGTGCCTGTCTTACAGCTATAACCCAGCCTGGCCCCATCCCCTGCATGGGGCTGGTAGACAAGAAAGCCTGAGTCCAGGGAAGAGGTTCCCAGGCATGAGCCCCACCTTAGGATCACAAAGCTGCTGTTCCCAGTGGGTTAAGTAACTTGCCCAAGGCTACACATTAGACAGCAACAGAGACAACCTTGCAACTGGCCAGACCCACCAGCCTGAGGTCTCCATCACTCTGCACCCTTCTCAACAGACACGTACACACACGCAAATTCCAAATAAGAGAGCCGAGGAATGAGCACCAGTCAAAAGTCCACTGGTGTGTGCCCGGCACTGAACCTCCATTTTTCCTATATAGCTCACCATGCCGAGACGACACAGGTAGTGAACTCTCATTCACAAGGGAAGAAATGGGCACAGAGGAGTTACTGGTCCAAGGCCACTCAGCTGGCAAGTGGCAGTTAGGACTCCCAACTCAAGCCCATCTGGACCCCAAGTCTGTCTTCATGACCCTCACACTAGGCTGCTTCCAGAAACACACTTCGCAGAACCCAAGCCGACCCCTGGCTTCTCAGACAACTCTTTCCCGAACGTGTCACTGTTAGGAGCGCTGTTCTTTTGTATAGAGGAACTGAGCCAGGCCCCAGACTGGCCAGGCAGCAAATCTACTTGGTGCAGGAGTGAGGGCCACACAAAGTGCAAAGCAGGGGACAGAATCCTGACCTTTGCCAGGCGTTCAAAAAGCTTGGCTTTTAGGCCAAGGAGCCTGAGGGAGACCTGGGGAAGCAGCTCAGATGCCACTCCCTGGGACGGCCACCAGGGAAACGCTGGAGGTATTTCTAACTAACCTAACTTCCAGAGCGGCTAGGACATTCAGGGCGGACATGAGAGGGCTGGCTTCTCCCAACCCTTCCGTTGCCAATCTGATCCTGCTGGACAAAAACGGATCTTTAATCTTTCAAAGGTTGGGACTGGATTTTTCTTTAAAAAAAAAAAAAAAAGGCGCTGCAAGGGCAAGGTTAATTATTCACCAGGCTGCAATCTACTTAAGAGTTGAGGGAATACAAGTTTCCTCCCAGGAGGCAGGACCAGGAGTCCAGCTGGATTTTAAGTCTTCTGTGGGTCACCCTGGGGGTCTGGTTGAAACCCGTCCCTCCCACCAGCTTTCCACCTTGCATTCAGATGCTTCCAGAGGACCACTCCAGGGCACAAGTCTGCCCATGTCAGCCACTTTCCCTAGGAGCCAAGAGGGACCTGGCTAACAGGGAGGGACTCAAGGGAGGGGTGGGGGTGGGGGGCATCTGTTTCAGGAGACTACGAGAATTCAAAAGGGACGCAAAATCCAAAGGCTCTCAACCAAAGCCCAATTCCTAAATACAACACAATAAAGCACAAATCAGCTGCTGGAAGCCAGGCCAGTGCACTGTGTTGCCGATTCAGTCACACTTTGCAAAGGAAAAATCCCAAGAAGGAAAAACGTAATCATTCACTTCCCCCAAAGCAATGAAACACTAAGGCATTTCCTAAAAAGCCCTAAAACCCAGATCAGCCCCAGTTACGCCAGAGGGGAAACTGCCAGCCACCTGAACCAGGCCAGGGAAGCCGGGGACACTGCTGGCTCCTTATTCCCATGTCTATCCCCTCCAGGGTGGCTGCTAATCAGCTTTTCTGCATCCCATCACTTCAGGCCAGTTCTGCGACCACAACATTCTGGAGATTTCCATGGACTTCATTTAGTTTAAGAGACTCATCCCCGGGGCCGGGAGAGGCATGGGTTCAAAGGGAGAGAACTCTGTTTTCCCAACCTGGTTCAGTACTCTGAAGAGGACACTGATTTTCTTAAATAGGGAAGGCCTCCAGCTGAAGCTCCCACCAGCCTGCTCCCAGACTCTTTTGCCTCAAAATGGAGAATTTAAGATACTTGTGCATTTAGATATAAGACCAAACTTTTCCCCATAGTTCTGGCATCTGTGCTTACACTAACTAGGGCACGCAGGACAAAGCTCACACTTGAAAACACGCAGGCTGACGACAGAGCAAGGCTGTGCCCATTCCTGGACTCACATGCCCAACCTTGCCTCAGTGACCCCACAGCCCATGGGGTCCCCTCACCCCAACACGGCCACCCAAACATGGAGAGCAGGTACACTGGGTTCCAGGAAAGTCCACTCTATACTAAGCCCGCAGAAACCTGTGGAAAAACCTTCCAGATGGGGTCTTTGCACAACTTTCAGAGAGGTGGGCCAACCTGGCTGGGCTGTTTTCTCCCTCAGCCTCCTCCTACTTCTAGAAAACCCTTCAGTTTTCCCAAGTCAGGCAGAAGGGTGCCCCAAGGTGCCCCGTTTTGTCAGCCTGCCCTTCACACAGCTCAGGTCACCTCACCGCACGTTCCCAAATGTTTTTCCAAGGCCCCCGCCGCCAAGAGAACCAAGACCCAATATAAAAATAAACTAGAAGTTCCAACACCCAACAAACTCAAGGTTTCCCAGGCTGGGTGGGCTTTTTCTTTTGGAGGGCTAGAACAAAGTGACAGGGCAGAGGGTTTAAGAGGCATAAAACTTGACTTGGGCAGTCAACATTAGGTGGCACAGGATCAGGGAACAAAAGAACACTCCCACAAAGATGCATCTTTGAAGAAACGACGGTGGGAGGGAGGGGCAGGCAGGGGCTTCCCCCTCCACCCAGGCTAAACTGCCACATCCCGTCCCATCTCCCCACTCCAGAGACAACTCCAAGAATAGGGCGATCCTCCCCACTTTCACGCTCAAGGTTGCTGCTCTGGGAAGTACGGCAGGACAAAGCTGCCGCTGGGCGTGGGGAGCTGGGGAACAGGAGGCTGTCTCTCCCCGCACCCCACATCCGCCCTGGAGGCAACGAGCTCTACCCGAAGAACACGGACCCGACACCGACCGCACACAGTGACCGACTTAAAGTTCTGAGCACGTTCCCACTGTTCCTGCGAAGCACAGGGATCCCTCGAATCTGTCCAGAGAGCCCGCACCGAGCGCCCCTTGCCACCCTCTCTCCAGAGTGGCCCCGGGAGGTGGCCACCGGCAGGGGTCCACACTCCCGCCTGGGTGCAGCTCCTGCCGTGCCGGCCTGGAGCTTGGGAGAAGCCGCCGGTCCTGGGGGCCGAGGACTGGGACTTTGTAGGCCAGTTGAACCGACACCCTCATCTCGCCCGCAAAGACCCAGCCCTCAGCTCCCCCGCGTCTCCGAGTTCGGTGGCGGGCGCGTCCCCGACGGGCTTCCTTGGGCTGGATCCCGCCACCCGCTTTCCAAGGCGCTCTGCTCTGCCGAGGCTCTTTCCCCCAAGCGGCGTCCGCGAAAGAAGGCACCCGCCCCGCCCGACCTCGGCCCGCGGGCTCCGAAACTAGCCCCCGAAGAGTTACACGACGTTCGGCGCCGCGGCTTCCAGGCCACCGCGGCGCAGGCCGAGGAACAGTGCTGGGCGTGGGGGTGCTGCGGGGACCCAGCCTTTCCTGACCCCGCACACCGAGCCAAGAGCGCTCGAGTCACACGCGGAGAAACTTCGCCACGATCCCACGCCGCGCCCGCGAGGCCCAGCTCCGCGTCCCTCGGTTACCTGCGCTCTGATCCGCGGGGCTGGGGCCGAGCCGCCGGTAGGGCACCTCCCACCGCAGGCCGCGCCCTCCCGCACCGCAGAGCCCGGGTCGCCTCCGCCACCGGGGAAGTAGCTGCGGCCGGACCCTATGCCCCGACGTCCCGCTGTCCCGCGCGCGCCGGGCCAGGGGCCGGGGCCTCGCTCAACCTGCCGGGACCCGGGGGCCGCTGCCGCCCCCTCCCCAAAGAGCACGAGCCCGGCGCTGCGGTGAGAGGAGCTGGGCGGCGAGACCCCTCGAAAGTTGGGGGAGTTCCGCCCGCTCGCTCGGCCCTAGCTAGCTCCACGTGCTGGTGACACATCAGGAAGGCTGCGCGCCCCGCGGTTCCCGGCGGGCGGACGCGACCAGCGCCCGCCCGCACCGCCTCCCGGAGCCGAGCGGACGGCGCCCCGCCCCGGCCCGCCCTCCGCCCGCCCCCCGGCGGCACCGCCCCCGGCTGCGGCACCCGCGGGAGGACACACGGGCGGGGGCGGGGAGGTGGCTTGGGTGCCCCTCTCCCGGACTGCCCGAGCCGCCCCGGGGGTCGAGTCCGGACGCGAGGGGCCCGACTCGACAGTTTCGAGTGCCTTCGTCCCAGTCACGCAGCTCTTCCCGCCCCCGAGCTCCAGTAATTTTCCCTTTTCCTCCTCTGACCGGTCCGAACGGCTGCCGGCGCGTCCTCCCGCGAAGGCCGGCGCGGAGAGCCCCCTGCCGGCCACGCTGCTCCTAGGCCGTGTCCCCGCCCGGGTGGAGCTCTCAGGCGGCCGGCCTCAACCTCCCCATTTGGAACCCGGAGCCATCCAGACGCTTACTGGGGCCTTGCGTGGCCAACCAAGATAATAAATGTAAAGCGCCAAGCGCAACGGTACCCCGCAGCGTGCTTTGTAGAGATGTTAATTGTGTGTTTTCTACCCATCCCCACCCCCTCTTCCAGTTGCCTGCAGACCCCCTCTTCTCCTGGCTGTGCGTTTCGAAAACCTGAGCTCCTTTAGCGGGACTGTAGGGAGGAAGGGTGGTAGAGAAAAGCTGAGAGGCCCGGCGACAGCTTTCCCAAGATTGGAAAGGGGTCAGAAGTCAGTGGAATCCCCTTTGTGGGGACCTGCTGACCCACTCTCTATAGAGACGCTAGGACGTCGGGGAGTAACTGCCTGTCTCATCGGAGAGCGATCTGGGGCATCCACGGGCCTCTGCCAAGATGCCCACCCTCAAGATGGCCAGGATTCCAGGGAACATGGAGAAGGAAGTAAGAGGGAATGATGGAAAAGCCCAGATCACCACTGAGATGCAGTCCCCCCTGCTTCTCTTCAGTTGGAGCTGGAGTCTGATTTAATTTAAAGAAAATCACGAGACATACCTGTTTGTGGCCTCATGTAGATACTGGCTATGTTCCTGTCTTTTTCTTGGCCTCACCAACCCAAAACATGCCTTAAAACCTCACTGTGATGGAAGAGAAGTGCTTTATCTGCACAGTTGGCCAGCTCCCTCCATGCAGGGGAGAGTCTGGGGCTGGACAGACAGAAGTGCAGGAGCCGGAGCTCCCAGGAGAGAGTGGCTTTGGGAGGGATGGAGGGCAGATGGTGGCCAGGTGCGGGCAGAGGTGCTCAGTGCTGGGGCAGGGTGAGCAGTGGGCCCCAAGTGTCTGTAATCCCCGTTTTGTGGGAGCCTAGGATTAAAAGGGAAGAAAGAGGAAGATGCACTGACATTGCTGGTGATGCTGCCGGTGCTAGAGGGGGCCTGGGGTTCATGCTCTGCTTTTTCTTCCCCTTTTATTGCTCTCTCTAAATCTGACAAACCCTTTGGATCTCGGAGCCTGGAGGGGCCTGGAGGAGCCGGTGCCCTGGGGGGATGAAAGGGCAGGGATGTAATGGGTTTACCCCAGCGCTGATCCCAGAGAAGCCTGCAGAAGATTAAGATTTGCTCCCTGAGCTTGAAATCTCCTTGCTACCCCCTGACCACATCAAAGCGCATGGCCGTAGGGGGCACCTAATCCCATCAATGGAATCAAAGCTGGACTAGAAAAGAGATTCTGCGGAGTTTGTGGCAGCTCACTAGACAAAGTTAGATGCTGGGCTCTGGCCTCCTCCCCTGGGAGTGACATCCCCCAAAAGATCCAGAGCCTCGTCCACAAGCAGACAGGGACTGTCCTTGAGGGGGCCACACTGGGAAGGTCAACCCCAAGGACTGGAGAAGCTGGGCACTGGGCCGGGGCTGGTCTGCATCTCACAGTTCCTCCAAGCTGTACTTTGAGCCAAGTGCTTTCACCGTGACGTACCCGTGTCCCCAAGCACAGCGCTCCTGTGTGTCAGACAGTTTCAGGTAGAAAAAAAATGTGATGTGTATTTTTCAATGTCAATGTCATGAATATCGTTGTCACAATGATGGGAAAAAGTGGTTAGTGAGAAGGCTCACAGCCAAGTATTAAGTCTCTACTATTAGAAAAGGTATTCTGAGGGGCACCAGGGTGGCTCAGTTGTTAAGCGTCTGCCTTTGGCTCAGGTCATGATCCCTGGGTCCTGGGATCAAGCCCCGCATTGGGCTCCCTGCTCAGTGGGGAGCCTGCTTCTCCTTCTCCCACTCTGCCTGCTTGTGTTCCCTCTCTGGCTGTCTCTCTCTCTAATAAATAAATAAGTATTCTGATATGGCCAAAATGGGGACAGTTAGTAAGTTAAAAAGACATCCCTTCCAACCATCTTTAATAGAAACACTGTCTAAGGGCAGTAACTTTCAAACTTCTAGTCATGCCCCATGGTAGGAAATATCTGTACCTACTTATGTATATAAAATGTCTCATGAAACAATTCTTATGCACATGACAGTTTTCTTATCCTTGCCTATTCTGTTCCAAAAAAAAAAAAATGCTACTCACAAGCTGTTAAAATGTCTTTCACGGGGTGCCTGGGTGGCTCAGTGGGTTAAAGCCTCTGCCTTCTCCTCAGGTCATGATCCTGGGGTCCTGGGATTGAGCCCCACATCGGGCTCTCTGCTCAGCAGGGAGCCTGCTTCCCCTTCTCTCTCTCTGCCTGCCTCTGCCTACTTGTGATCTCTGTCGGTCAAATAAATAAATAAAATCTTTCAAAAAAAAATGTCTTTCACGATCCACTCATGTACCTCCGGCAATTTGAAAACTACCGCCTTCAAGAATGTGCCCAGGTGAGCTAGCTCTCAGTGAGAAATTTCTAGGTGCCAAGACCCCGTGCTTCTCCTTAGGTTCTCACACCGACCCTCAGATGGGTATTATTATTGTCCACATTTTGTAGATGGCATTATGTGCCAGGGTTGCCGCAGTAAAGTACAGGCCTGAGAGCAGCCCCTCTCTGCCCAGTTCCTCTCTGGTCTGGTGCACCTTCCATCAGCTGCTCTGGGGAAGCAGCTCAGAAAAGCCCAGCAGCCAGGGTCATTCATGCTACCTTTGCTCTTCTCCCACCCTCCCACCATAGTCTGTCTCTCCAAGACCTCTCCGTGCTTCTGCCCTTTTTGCGCCCCCTCCCCCACAGATGACCCCTCGGAGTCCCCGGCTCTTTAGCAAGCTAGACTCAGCGTCCTTAAGGCGTAGGGGGAGGGGAGGGTGTGATGCGACACCGACATTCTTAAGGTCCCAGACACTCTGACAGACTCCTGCCCATATCCAGCTCCGTGGCTGGGAGGGACCAAACTGCCTCGGGGACAAAATCTTACAGAGTTGGAGACACTGACCTTGTTCTCTCCTCCCTCCCCCATTCTAGATTCTTCCCTAGGTCTTCCTTGGTTCCCTATTTTAAACTGCAGCCCCCTTCCCCATCACATCCTATCCCCCAACCTCCCTTTTTTCCCTTCCCATAGCCCCTTCCCCTCTAAAGTGCCACATATTTTGCTCATTTGAGTATCTATTCTGTCTCCCTGCTGATCTTTGCCTCCAACTCCCAGAATATAAGCTCCACAGGGGTAGGAATTTCTGTCTCTCTCATACATTACTGTGTCCCAGTGCCTCACACATAATGCACACTCAGTAAATATTTGCCAAATGCCTTTCAGTCCTGCCTACACTGCCCTGAGAACCCAGCTTTGCTATTATTGGATGGGCTTGACTGCCCCAAACCCTCCCCAGGGGCCCCCTGGGGCTGAGCCACACAGATGCACTCCCTCCAACACTTAGTGATTTCCCCAGTTTCCTCTCAGTGGGTGACCATACCCTCCCAGGACAGAAGGGCCAACATTGACGTGGCCTCCAATGCCCAAACCATGCAAGGTGGTTAATATCCACCTCGTGCTACGGTATTGATTCTCAGCTGAGAACTTGAATAGCAACCCACAAAGCATTATGAAGTGGCAGAGCCTTGGTGGGGGGAGAGGGTGGGGGAACACTAGTTTACCCAGAAACTGGGCTGACAGAGATGCAATGATTTACCCAAGGTCACTCTATGCTGCATTCTTTCAGCTCAACTTCTGCCTCTGGACCACCCAGCCTCTATTAGAGGCAACATCCACGGTCCCAGACTGTGCTGGCTTCTTTCCAGCTTCCTGCCATCAGTCAGAAAGAGCTCTGTGACAAGACACAGTATATTCTGTTCAGATGGCAATCTACATGCATTCTCTTTCCCAGCCCAGATGGCTTGGCCAGAGGGGAGAGTCCCAGAGCTCAGGAGAAAGACAGGCTGGGCGTAACGTCTTTGCTGCCGAGAATCCACCCCCGGGATTGCTGGTCCTGTCGTCCACATCTGGAGCCTGTTTCAGTTCCTCGTGCCTGTGCCACCTTCCATCAGTTATTCTCTGCCCCTGGGCCTCTGTGTCATCACTGACAGAACTGGAATGGGATTTTCTCTGTGGTTTCTCCCAGCTTTGCCTATTCCTTAACTATAGGAAAAGAAGTTGCTGACTTTTTTTTTTTTTAATTGTTGTAGACATTCATTCATTCAGTCAACATAGAAAAAGCCCCTTTATCTATCTTGGTCATTTGAGAAAACGCAACGCTTGCCCACAAGCAGAAGCAAAAGGTTGGATAAAGGAGTCCATTCTTTCAGGTGTGATAATAGTTCAGCAATGTCACGGCAGTGAGTGCCTTGAGCTGGATTCTGTTTTCCTGCATGATGGGGGGTAGGACAGGGGCAGGTGGTCTGACACTCTGCTTGGGTTATATCCTCTGAACGTGACTTAAGGAGTGAGGCAGAGAGGGTGCGAAGTAAGCTTATATCAGGAGCCTTACTGGCCCAGAGTCCCAGCCATCCCAACCGGGGCGCTCTGCCAAACTTTCAGTGCTAAGTGCCTGGACAGTGTTAGAGCCCTTGGTCCAGAGGAGCTAGTAGTCAGTATCCTGGGGATTCCAAATGTTGGCAGTGTGGGTCTGTGTCCCTCTCCCGCCTCTACAGCCTGAGTGGTCTGGTCAAGCCTCTGATTTTGTCCCTGTGTGCTTTTCCTGTGGATGGGGGTGAATATTAGACAGGTACTGTACCTGCTTGGGTCACAGGCTGGCAAAGAGATGGGCCAGCTCCTGGGTACGGGTCCAGTAATAATGGAGATGACATTCTCAAACAGATTTGTGCTCATTCTGTGGAAGAGCCTAGACTGTATTATATATACAGGTAGAGCTTTCTAGATGACCTTGAAGAATTCACTTCCCTCTCTCTACCTGCTTCTGTGGCTGTGAAATAAGAGGACTGGTGGTCATTTTCATTCCTATCAGCCTGCGATTCCAAACTGGTAACCTCTGTCCCCAAGAATGGGTTTGGACCCTTCATGTTTGCTTATAAGTACTACGGTTTTGTTTCTTAATTTGCAATTTCATTTTATGTGCAAAGTTAGAGGGGCTGGGAGGAAAAGAAAAGTACCTACCACTGCCTAGTTAGCTTCAGTCTAAATTCTAAATCATGGTATTTGAGTGTCAAAAATGATTGAATGAGGGCAGAAATACCCAAGATCTCGCAGTGCTCTAGCGAACTCCTATTTATCCTCCAGAGCCCAGCCATGATGTCACCTCTTCATGGAAGACTTCCCCACACCTCCAAATAGGGACCTCTCTTATGCTGCGGCTCCATCTCTGCACCAGGTACTAAAAACCCAGATATGAGTGAGACACTGTCCCAGCCCTAAGGGGTCTCCCAATCATGGTGTGAGATATACAGAGAGGTCCTAGACAAGAAGCTGAGTCACTCATTACCTGGGGGAATCAGAGGTTTCTCGAAGGAGGTGATACCTGAGTCTTGCCAAAGAGCTGAACCTGACTCTGATCCAGTGTCCGGACATCGCTGCTATCTTGCAGGACATACAATGACAGAGGAACTTGGTTAACGGCACCAAAAGTTTGCAGCTGGCAAAGTCCAGGCTATGGGAAACCCTACAGGTCAAACAGGGCAGCTTCCTTCACTGATACATTGCAAGGAAATGAAAGGGAAGGAAGATAATCCCAATGATTGAAAAGAGCCTAAGAGATAATCAATTTGAAAGATGAACAAATTCAAA